CCAAAAAAAAAAAAAAAAGAAAACACAAAAAAAAAAAAAAAAAAAAGTGAAGTGGGCAGGATGGGACCCGAGAGACCTCTGTAAAAACTCAAAGCTGGGAGTTTGTTCGAGTTTGAGCTCCCGATGCTGCAGGTGAAGACCACATTGCCTGTCACAAGAAAGCCACGGTAAAATCTGGAGCACCTTTTTCAGCAGGTGGGCCCCGTAATGGACCCCTTTCCTGGTCATTTTTTTAAAGTATAGTTTTAGAAGGGGTCACCATGTTAGTCTGCGCTAGCACATCAGGTCAAAAGCGAACAAAAATTTGAAAAAATATATATTCATAACGAAGACAAACACATTAAAGACTGATTGCTATTTTTTAATGGGGGCTTAGATTTCGATGATGCCCACTAACATTTCCTTGGCAAAAGCAAAAAACAAAAAAAAACAAAAAAAAAAGCCTGTTTCATGACTAAACACCGCTTTGCGCGTCCCCTGCCCATAATGCAAGATTCATAGATCTTAGATAGGAAAGATACTTTGAGGGTCATCAAGATTCCACCGAATGCGAGCACTGGAAAGCCAGGTCAGCTGAGCGATCCCTCAGAGAGGGTTGGTCAAACTCTGTTTAAAAACTTCCAACCAGAGGTATAGTAGCAAATTGCAAAGTACCGGGATTCACCCTGATGGTCCTCTTATCGATACCCCCAGAAGAGTCTAGAGGCAGCTGCCTTGATTCTTATCAACCAGTCAGGAGTAGGTCTTTTGTAAAGCCAACAACTCTTAACTGTCATTAAGCCACTGCCGCTGGGGAAATCTCTTTTTACTTCTAGCTACTATGAAGATTGCAGCAAATCTCAGTGGAAAAAGGGGATATAGGATGGTGGATAGTACATCATCATCCCTGTTCAGAAAAAGGTCACTATGCTCAGACCTTCTGAGGCCAGCTCTGCTACTTCATGTGCTCCAGCAAAGAAGGTATTTCTCCAGATGGTCTGCTCCATTGCCCTGAAGGTCTTACAGAGTTCTTCATCATGCACCTCTGAATTCCCTGCATCGCTACCCCCTTTCTTTATCTCTCATGGTCTGAGTCTTGGAAGACCTCATGGGCTCAAGTGGCTGAAGATCAGGGAAAACTTCTTAACTGTTAGAGCAGTATGACGATGGGACCCATGACCTTGAGAGGTGGCAAGCCCTCCAACGCTGGCGGCATTGAAAGGAAAATGGGACCACCATCTCTCAGATCTGCTTGGATGTCTATTCCTGCATCGAGCAAGGGGTTGGACTGGATGGCCTCAGAGGCCCCTTCCGAGTCCATCATTCCAGGATTCTACAGTCTCCCATTTGATCGTCTTCCACCCTTCCAAGATGAAGTTGGAGCCTTCAGGCTCCATACTCACCTCTAGAGGTGATTTTGTCCCCTTCTCTTCGCTGGCCTCCATCGAAGCTGGTGTTTTGTCCGTAGCCCCTGGCTGCAAGGCTGCGACCCCAGAGATGGTGGCCACCAGGAGGAGGAGGAAGCTGGCCCGCAAGAACAGACTCAGGGGCCTCATAGTGGCTCCCGACAGTCTATCTGTGCTCCGGTAACAAAGATGGTCCTCTCACATCTGCCTCCGCGGCACAGCTTTTATCAGGCACAACCCCTTTTGCTTGCCAAGCCGAAGAGGAAGCTTCTTTGCAAGCAAGGTGTTGACATTCTTCTGATCTCAGGAGTTTCCCAACCAACTTGACTCACAAACTCAGAAACTGGGTCACCGTTGAGCCTTACCGTACAAGCCCTTCCCACCTTGTCCCGTTTCTGTGAACCTGTAATGAACCCAACTGGGCTTCCATGTGCTCCCCACCCTGCGTACGTCGGTGAACGTTGTCTGCTTTGCTTCTATCACCGCAGCCAAGACGATTTTTCATGTCCATTCTCTACCTCTCCTTTTTTAAAATAACTATAACATAAACATAAAATACACAAACCAAAACACAATTTAACCATGTTCCCCTCCACCATAGGCGGGACCTCTTGCTGTAATCTTCTTCTTCCTCCATCTACGATATATTTTTCATCTTCTTTTATTGTCCTCTTCTCCAGAACTGCATTGATTCTTGATTTCGAGCTTTCCCTTTTCCTCTTGTTAACACATATTCCAAAAATCTGCCCCGTATTTCATAAAAATTATTTTTCAACTCTCCTTTCTTAGCCTTTAAGTTACAAGTTAATCATTTATAGCTATATTCCATATTGCATTATACCCTTCATTGTTTTGAAATTCAGATTTTGTTCCCATGAAAGAAACTCTTGTGTAATTATACTGTAACATTCTTCTTCAAGATGAAACAATTAACTACAGTTCCCTTTTCTTTCTTTCTTTCTTTCTTTCTTTCTTTCTTTCTTGTTAAGTTGGTTATTTGTTCAGCATTTAACAGCATTTTAATATATGAATGAATTTATTTATTAAAGTCGGGGGACCAGATCATAAAACATTTATGGCTAAAATATACAAAATGCAGTTTAAAAGTATACAAACAATTCATAAAACATATGTGGCTAAAATATACAAAATGCAATTTAAAAATGTACAGTCAGTTCATAATGTATTTTACTGCATTTTTAAAAATCATACTGTGAGATGCACTGTGTTCTAGTCTCGGCAGAATGGTAGAACTAAGTGTAATAATTAACATACTTTAAAAATAAATAACTTCCATAGTTCATAAATGGTTTATAATGAACCAGCTCAAACACTCACTCATTCCAGTGAGTCCTCTTTCTTCTGCGACACTGTCCAACTGAAGACTGAAGGAAGAGGGAGTCTGGAGTGAAGGGATTAATGTTCACGTGGGGAGCTTGCCCCATGTCGGATTCTTGTTTTACTAGTTTCCCAACATTCATAAAAAGAGAGCCTCCTCTCAGTTTTGCTGAACTTGACCCCATTCCTTCAGCTTTGCTAAGAAGACTCTGAAATATAAGGAGATAAATCAACATTATCTGCCAAGTTAAGTACTTTACAAGTTATGGCCTTTAAAAAAAATCACAAATGAACAAGCTCTCTAAATATAAAATTTCTGCATCACCTCTGGCATGTAACGATTTCTTACTTACTGCTTCTTATTTACTGTATAATCAATGATACAATGGAATAAATCATGCTTAGTATATTACCGTATTTTTCCATGTAGAAGACAATACTTTTATCTAAAATCTTTAGACTAAAAATTCAGGGTCATCTTATACATGGAAGTAAGCTGAGGAGAGAAAAACCAAGTGGAGGGGAAAGCAGGGATTAAAGTGATCCTGCAGGGCTTTGATCCCTGCTTTCCCCTCCACTTGCTAAGCCTTAGCAAAAGGAAAGCAGGGATCAAAGTGCTGCAGGATGGCTTTGATCCTTGCTTTCCCCTCTCCTTACTAAGTTCCATGGGGCTTAGCAAGTGTAGGGGGAAAGGATCAAAGCAATCCCATGGCTGTATAAGGGGGAAAGGGATCAAAACAATTGTGCAGTCGCGGGATTGCTTTGATCCCTTTCCCCCTCCTTTTGCTAAACCCTGCTTAGATTTCCTAATTTTGCACTTAGATTTCCTAATTTTGGATTAGAAAAGGGGGGCATTTTATACATAGGTGCGTCTTATACATGGAAAAACACGGTACACTTCAGCCCCCCACCCTCTCCGGAGATACCTCTGGAGGTATATTCAGTTTTATGAAGTATTTGTGCAAATACTGTACAGTAGGACCCCCATATCCACAGGATCAGTATCCACAGTTTCACATATCTGCGAAAATGTTAAAAATATTTTTTGAGGAAAAAACCCCCTAGAAATGTGTTTACAATGCGTTTACAGGAATTGCCCACTAGAGGGAGCAAGAGACTACACGATTATTGTTTTTGAATCATACTTAGCATGGCCTCTGCCTCCCTCTAGTTGCCAGTTCTGGTAATACATGTGGGGGGAAAACTATTATTCTGTTTTCAGCATCTGAGGGCGGAGGGCTTGGAACCAATTCCCCACAGGTACAGGGGCCCTACTGAAGACGAATATAATGGTCAGGACCCATGAGAAAAAGTCCATCTCTCCTTGGGATGGAGAACACTCAGAAGCGGTGGAGGCCCACCAAGCTATTCTTCAGCTGTGAAAGCTTCCATGCAAGGCAGGACCTTGTGCAAGAGGCCAATGATCTCTCATCTTTGTAATATTCAAAGGACATACTAGGCTCTGGAGATTATTTCTGCAATATTTTATTATAAAAGCCACTCCATACAAGGTAGCACAATTTGATCCGAGGACAACTATATGCTCAAAAGGCACAGGGTGGCAGGTCTTTCAAGGTGGAAGGGAAGGGAGAGCCAAAAAGGGAGTGAGTGGAGCCCCATTATTCTCTTCCACGGATTCCCTGGGCTTTCCTCATACATTGCTTTGACCTTCCTTCTGGTGTGCCAAAGCCCTCTGCCTGGACAGAGTTCTGCCAGTGGTCTGAGCCGTGCCCGTGGCCGTCTTTCTCCCGGCTCTTCCTCCACGAGAACGGCGGTCCAACGTCTGAAGTCTCCCCATCCCTTATCTTGCAGGTCAAAAAGCATCCTCTTCCCCTATAATCCCTGCCTGGAAAAGATACGGAGCCCCTTTGCACACTCCAAGCCTGGCCACCTCTTTTTCTGGCCTGGAGACAAATCCCATTTGCTCCCCCCCCCCGAGTTCTACCATAGTCCTCCGTTGAGACGTTTCTTCACGGGTCCTTTGGGGCAAAACCCACCTTGCGGAGTTGAACCAAGAGAAAAGAGTTTCCTGAGGCAGCCGGAGAGATTGCCTCAGTCTGAATCACTTCCTTCCTGCTTTGCCGACTCGACCACCGACGCCAAGTTCTCCTCCTGGCCTCTCAGCCTCTCTCCTACGAGGGGGACAGAGACACACAACATCAGAGTCCTCCCCGTGGCCCCACTTCAGCAACGGGCAGAGCCTGGACCGTTCCAGACCTGGCTAACTACGAGCCAACCTTCTCTCCCTCCAAACCTCCATGACCAGAGAGGTTCGATGTATTTATCCGGCTTAGGCACACCAGCTGGCAAGGAAGGCTCCACGACCGAGGTGCCCTGGCAGCCCTTCAGTGGGCGTCTACCCATCCAGCCAAGGCTCCCTGCTCCTGCCTCCCAAACACAGAGCAGAAAGACACGGCAGAGCACCAGTCTTTCTGGAAGGCGGGGTGCCGCCTGAAAGACATGGAAGGCCTCTGTCTATTTACTCCATCTTTACACTGCCTCTACTCTGAGAAGTAGCAGGACAGCCCTCTCCGTTACAGCCTCACAAGGGACCCTGCGTTGTGGCTGAGGGTGTCTGGCTTCAAGGCCCCCTTGTGTACTTTGTGGCCAAGCTGCAGGGAAGAAAGCAAACCCGGGGCTTTGGCCTAGATGGGCGGGAGAGAAATATAATAAATAAACAAATGGACTCCCCAACCGCAGCCCAATGCGTCACATCATAACCCGGGGCTTTGGCCTAGATGGGCGGGAGAGATAAATATAATAAATAAATGGGCTTCCCAACCCCAGCCCAATGTGTCACATCCCCACCCGAGCCCTGTTTGCTCAGGAGGATGGGATCTGGAGTCAAACACTGCTCCATTCGTAGGAACAGAAGCTTCTCAAGTAGCAAAGACTCCCGAGGAGCACAACTCAAACTGAAGACAGCTTAAGGAAGGAGCCCTCTTCCATGGCATCGAGTTCCTCTCCCAGCGGGAAGAGGACACTGGGTGAATAAGCAGGTTGCGGAGGTGGAGACGGCAGGACACCTTGAGAAGGGTTATGGGTTGGATGAAAGCCCAAACTCCATATGGGAAGACCTGCGGGGTGCTCAGCGTTTCCAGGAGAGTACCCCTGGCCCACCGGCCCACCCGGCTCTTCAGCTCTCCACCAGGCAGACTGCCCACCAGCCGGCCAGCCAGCCGGCCATCACTCACTGATCAGTTCCGCAATTGCCCTCTGTGTCCGCTTCTCAAGCTTCTCCAGTTTCTTGGCAACGTCTCGCTTTAAGTCCCTGTGGGAGCGAGAGGGGGAAACTGAGACAAAAGAAGTCCAGGCCCACTGGGCCAGAGGGGCGTAGGGAACGGTGGCTGAGGATTAAGGCCACAAGCCGCAATCCAGATGCAGGACAGCACCCGGCTTAGCTGCTGAAGAGAACCAGCAACCCTTCCCAGACAAGGCTCAAGCGGCAGTAATGGGAACAGAACACCTCCTCAGAGGGGCAGAGAAGGAGCAGGTCCAGCGGAGCAGAAAAGTTCATGGAATGGCCTTTAGCAGAAAGGCATTTTAACACCCCCACCCCAAAAAAAGAACCATCGTGCGGTCTCTCCAGACAAAACCTCATTAATGCTCAGCCTTCCCTTTTCTGCCCCCCAAAGAAGCCAAATGTCTTTTCCAAAACCTCCACACTCACCAGTCAGGTTTTCTGGGTGCCAGATTTGCCAAGTCCTAGAAAAGGAAGAAACCAAGAACACAAAAAAGCATTAAGATCCTATGCCGGAGGCAGCAGCAAAGCATGGCCGACCCTTCTGTGTGTGGGGGGGGGAGAGAGCGGGAAGGGCCAGACGTACCACTTCGTCAATGATGGGCTCGGGCTTGGCAGCCTCCAGCTGGTCTTTCACCTTGTCTTCCACTAGAGGGGAGAGAGCGGAGCGTTAGGAAAGGTGAGTCCAGAAGGGGAACCGAGGGAGGAGCAGGAGAGGCCAGCGCCACCGAAGGTCGGAGATGCTGCCTGGGAATTTTGGGGGACAAACAAAGATGGGGAGCCTTTGGACTTTGCCAGGCTGCCGTGTGGCCTCTGCAGCGTTGGGCCCTCTGTTTGTGGTTCAGGAGCAAACACGTCCCATCCCTGGAGCCGGCTTCTGGCTTCCACCACTCAGGACAAAACAGAAAACAAGGCAAGGCAAGGTGGATCTCCAGGGTGCCCCACGGAAGCCGGCTGAAGCCAACAAGAGCCGTTCTCAGCCTGGGCCCCACCAGGTCCTTCGGGCTTCGGCTTCCGGGGGCCTTGACTCCTGGACAGCCAAAGGCGGAGGACCTGCGACCAGGCACCATCACAGGAATCAGGGCAGCCTTCCTCCAACGGTTAATGCAGAGGCTGACGGGAGTGATTCTAGCAAGCCGAGTCTCCCCGAAGTAACCTGCCGGCCATCTTGCCCAGACTGAATTCTGGCCCACTTCAGAAGACTGCTGCTTTCTTTCTCCAGCCTGGATGGGAACTCACCGGAGGCAGGCTTGGCTGCCGGCACCACCCGCCCTTTGAGCTCTTCATCTTCCGGAGCATAATTCCGCAGGCGGAGCTCCCTGGAAAGCACAAGAAGCAAAACCAGAGCATTTTCAGTTCATACACATTGCCACTCATTCCTGGTTTCCTGGCTTGCAGGGGTCTAATTCAGCACAGCTCCTTTGCCTGATTCAGGGCAGAACTAAGATCCCCTGAGGCCAGGAGAAGGCAAGGCACTATCCAGGGCCTCTCTCTGCATGGGCGCTACTTCAGGAAGGACAGACTGGCTATGCCTGAAATTAAAACAGAAGTAGCAGAGAACACGGCGGTTGCCAGCAACAGTGGGCATTTTTATATTACATCTGGAAAAGAAGGCTGGACTAATTGTTGTAGATCAAAAGAACCAACAGTGTGATGCAGCTGCATAAACGGCAAAGGCGATTTTAGGATGCATTAAGAGCAGTCTCCAAATCACATGATGTACTCTTGTAGATCAAAAGAACCAACAGTGTGATGTAGCTGCATAAAAGGCAAATGCGATTCTAGGATGCATTAACAGCACAACCTCCAAATCCCATGATGCACTAGTCCCCCTCTCTCCAGCACTGGTCAGGCCTCGCCTTGAGGACTGTGTCCAGTTCTAGACACTACACTTTAAGAAGGAGGCTGACAGACTGGAACAAGTTCAGAGGAAGGCAGCGCAGTTCTAGACACTACACTTTAAGAAGGATACTGACAGACTGGAGCAAGTTCAGAGGAAGGCAACCAGGATGATCAGGGGACTGGAAACCGAGCCCTCAGAGGAAACGCTGAAAGAACTCAGAATGTTTAGCCTTGAGAGATGATAGCACTTTTCAAAGATGAAAGAGCATCCTACAGAGGAGGAGCAGGATCTGTTCTTGATCATCCCAGAGTGCAGGACATGCAATAACAAGCTTAGGAAGCCAGATTTAGGCTGAATATCAGGGAAAACTTCTTAACTATTAGAATGGTACAATAATAGAGCTGAAAAACTTCTTAACTGTTAGAATGGTACAATAATAGAGCCAGTGACCTAACGGAGAGGCGGGGAGCGCTCCAATGCTGTAGGCTTTCAAAGGAAAACTGGACAACCGTCTCTCAGATCTGCTTTGATTTGGATTTCTGCCTTGGGGGGGGGGTCAGACTTGGCGGCCTTTTAAATCCCTTCCAATCCCATGGATTATTCTACGATTCTAATGCTTAGGACGAAGATGCAAAAAACGAGGCTACATCCAGGAGAGCTGCAGCCAGCATCCATGCCCATCTATTAAGCCCTTTGCACCCATGCCTGCTCTCGGGAACGGTGTGGTTTGCCTGTCTAACTGGCAGGCCCACTGGAGTAGATCATCTGGGGATTATCGGAACACCTCTCTCTTCACTGTTCCCTGCCAACCAAGGAAGGAAAGAAGAAAACCGAGGCACACTGATTTGATTTGTTTCTGTCCTATCTGCCATCCTCTTCTGGGAAAAAGCTTCCAAATCTCCCTGTCCAGGTTTGGTCAGAAGAAGAGTCTTGCTGAGCACCAGAACGGCAGCCCAGTAAGAGTTTTGCACCAGCAGAAACGAGGCAGGGATTCTATAGCGGGATACACGCATCTTGCTTTCCTAGTCAATTGACAGTGCTTTGGGCTGGGAAGTGCCCTTAAACTGAGCCAGCACTGCTTCGGTCCAATTCTACGGCACCAAAACTGAGATGCAAAACTAAAGGTTAATGGGAGAGCAGCTGCCTAGGCTGTGGCACCCGGCTTCTCACATCCTCCCAGGACTTGGGGGTAATTACATTTCTTAAACCTGTTTAAATGAACAGATCTCGACCCCTTTTATTAACCACTTGACACCGGGCTCTTTCAGACAGATGTGTCCCAGGTAATTAGCAGCTGTGGCTGTTACTGACGAGAGGTCCCCCAGGAGAGTTCTTCAGCTAGGCAGTGTGCAATATTGGGGGGAGGGGGGAGAGAGAGGAGGGAGGGAAGGGATCAAGCTTCCTATTTCACCATCAGAACCTAGAAAACCTCCCTTTTTCGGAGGGGCTGGGGGCTCATCAAACCCAGGCAACAAAGGGGAACGAGGACAGGTTGGCATTTGAGAGGTGAATATTCAGACACACTGTTCAGGGCATGGATATGAGAAACACACTGTTAAGGTGCTCCCCCCCCCAAAAAAAAAACACCCCTGCAAGAATGAGAAGAACTAATGTTGAACTGTTCATGGAAGATTAGGAGAACACGTCAAATCCCAAATCGGTGGATCCTGGGATATTTCAAACAGAGAGCCTCAAAGTCTTTAGATAACAGACTAAGCAGATGTCTGGATCTTTCCAGCCTTGTAGGTCTGTGTTCGAACAGAGTAGAAAAACATTTCTAACTGGAAAGTCCAGACACAGAACCCATATCCGGGGGAAGGTAATGGAATCTCCATTACGGGACACTTGCATAATAACAGCAACAACAACAACAACACAGAGAGAAGTCAAGCATGTCTCAAGCTTTCTCCCTTTGTGGGGGACTCCTTAGGCAACCCAAGGGCTGTGAGTTTCCTCCCTTGCAAGGAATTGCTGTGATTCTGTCTTGCACTGTGAAGAGGGCAGAAGACACACACACACACCCGTCCATCTGCCACTTGTTGGGGCAGGTTGACTCCGAACAGGATGCTCCGCCAGCTCTCCTTAATCAGCAGAAGCAGGGAACGCAACCCCAAAGGCATCCATTATTTACACACCCCTGGGAGTGTGTAACATGACAACCCTGGGGCTCAGTTACCTCATACACGGTTAATTGGAAAGGCAGGTTTCCTTGTCACAAACAAGCCGCCTTTTCCTTTCCGAGCAGGAAAGGGCATCTGTGCCACACCCCTGCGCCTCGTCTCCCAACGGCCACAGGCCGGGAGCTCCCGAGAGCGAACAGGATGGACCAAAAGGGCTGAGAGAGAAGGCTCAGGGGACCTACTTGTGTTTCGCCTTGTCTTCCTCTTCATCCTCGCTTCTGAACTGCTTGATTTCTGGGGCCCCGTCATCTGTATCCTGGAACAGGGAGACAGAAGAGAAAAGCCATCTGGGTCAATGCCAGCAGCCGTCACGACCGAAGCTTGGCACAGAAAGGGAAGAAGAAGGGCCGAGGCAAAAACAGCATGCCCACAATCTCCATATCGGAGACCCCTCCGTTTGGTGGAACTAATGGTGTTTCCACTCCAAACCGTTTCCCCTGCGATTCATCTACGGAAGAGAAACAGCAGAAGCAAAACACAGCAAGGGGGGAAAGGACCTCGGCGATGCTTTCACGACGGTGCAGTTGCTCAAAGGGAGGAAGGCGCTGGAGGCAGGTGGGAGAGGGACCCACCCACCAGAGACCCTGTCTGAGTGGAGCAATTTTTGTTAGAGTAATTCTTAAAGGCAGGGAAACCCAAACTCCCAGAGGACTGGCGGTGCTGCTAGGAGGCTGGAAATCATTCCAAACCGTTCAAAGGCCACCACTGTTATCCAGAACACAACAGATGCCCAAATAAAGCCTGGGTCCATCAGCATCCCGGCGCAAGTGGACCAAACACCATGGTTAAAGAAGTCCAGGATGCCTGGCTAGGCTGAGCATAAAACAGGTTGTCGTATTCTGTGTGTCTACCCAGCTCCACTTCGAGATCAAGAGAGAAGCTTTAAGCTGCCAGGTTGCCAGATGAGAGGGAAAGGGTCCACCAACGAGAACGGAGGGCTCAGAATGAGGGACCGAAGCATCGGGCCTTTGACCGAGTCAGCTGCTTGCCAGCAAAAACAGGACGAGGGAAGTCACAGAACTTCCAACCTGCTTTCGTGTTTCTTTAGGGGCTTCTCGGGGGGGGGGGGAGTTTGCGAACACGAGAGCCTTCCAAAGGACTTACCAACCCGAGCACTGGGAACACACACCAACCTTGTCTGGTTCTGGAAGCCGGACAGGGTTTGGCCTGGTTTGGGAAACCACCAGGGCACAGTCAGGCGACCATGGCCAGGAGCCCAACGGGAGCTTCTGAAGCCCTGCCCCTCTGGCATCATACTCTTTCTTGCCAATCTGCTGCCAGCACGTTGGGATCTCCTTAGGTTGCCCATTTTCAGCCTTCAGCTCCTTCCCCACTTCCTCTGCCTGATCCCCCAAAGAGAGAGAATCCCCCATCATACACTTTCCATGGGTTTCTAGTCTAGTGGGTTACAGGAGTACCCTCATATCCATGGGATTCACTTATCTACAGTCGGAAAAGAAAAAAATCCTAGAAATATATATTTATAAAGAGGACATTATCAGAACTGTCCACTAGTGGGAGCCAGAGACCATGTTAAGTGCAGGGTTTGCCATTAATATAGCATTTGCTATAATCCACTTTTTTTCAGCATCTGGAACCGATTCACAGTAGATATGGGTGGTCCCACTGTACGATCCTATCAATGAGTGGGATGCCCACAATGAGGAGGCACAGCACAAAGCTCTCTCTGGCCAGTTCTAACCTGGTCGCAACTTCACTGGCATTGTTAAAAGCTCTGGACAACAACATGGGAAGAAGAGTTCAAACTTCTGCTCTGTCCTGAAATGCATATCCACTCCCCTTGGGCTCGCCACAGAAAAGGAGGATATGAATATAGCATAATAAATAGAGCATCATACCTAAAGAAAGGTATAGAAGGCTGTGCAGCAGAGCCTAGAAATTGAGAAACAGCTTTTCCCAAGCTCTTCTCTGGGGTACAGCCACAGGCAAAATAAAATAAAATAAAATCAGCTGTCAGACAGGCAAGAAATATTTTAGGTACCTGGATGCCTTACCATTGCAAATATGAACTAGAAAATGTTTCTTCCCAGCCTCTGCAAGGAAGATTTGCAATGTCGGGTGATAATACCTCAATATTTAACTACATTTCCTCCACCACCATCCCCCAGTCCTACTGTGAGGATATGCAGGATTTAAACACCTTTCAGAAATTCTCTCTCGTCTCCATGGGGAAATCTACTTATCTCCTTCACGGGTTTCCAGGAGCACATTTTAAAGCCCCCCAGGACTTGGGCTGGTTATTTCTTCTCGAAGTCCTAATCCTTGCTCCGTTCCAGGGGGTTGCTATGGAAATGAGGGAATTCATCATCTGAAAATTACTCCTCCACACAAGGAAAGCAAACATCTGGGGAGCTGCG